GAAGGCCTCCTTTTTCTCTCTACTGCGCGCTAGCGCCTTAGCTGTAGGTGTTGAAAGTGCTGTTAGTCAATTCCTCGTGGTTGGTTCTCCTAGATATCGTGCTTTCCTAGCGGTTTCCAGAAAACTCGAAGTTGTTGTTAGGGTTGAACTTTTGCTTATACTTCTCTTCTTAAGGCGGTTTAGTTGTTATACTAACAACACGTGTCTGCTTACTCAAAATAAATTAGGTAAACCTTATTCTCTTTTCTTCCCGACAGGTTCCGGTTCTTCTTCTCAGAGTTAGAGGCACTCCCACTACTACCCTAAGTAGTGTTGCCATCTTCCTTATCTTTGCTGTTAGTGTGCATTAGCTGTTCTATCCACTAAGGAGTTGAACGCAGCCCCTTGGGCTTCGCCATTTATAGAGGAGTTGTGTGGAACTGCAATGTCTTCTTAGTAGAGGGAACAGAACTAAAGGTTCTTCCCCTTCCCATAGGCTATGGGAGAGGGGAGAGGGAGTAAAATATATGTAGTTGGTTCTTCGAGCAAGAGATTTTTCTAAGAGATATTGTTGGTTTTTTTTTCCTCCAGACTTGACTATCAATTTATGTTCCTTCTTGAAGGTAAGCAGTGCTTTGTTAGCACAAGGGTCATGGTGACCCTGTGCCTCGGCACACTACCAACAGCAGTTCAGCTCGTCTAGAGTTAGGGACAACGAGGACTAAACTGACCCGCTCCCGCGCAAAACAATGTCCCATCATCAGACTTATAGCAGGCAGTACCCCCTCTACACTATAATACATATTAGATAATAGCTCTATAAGAGAATTCCATGATAGCCTTACTGTATGTCCGGCGTTGACACAATCACTACATTTAACCAGTTGAGGGCCAGCAGTAACCCCTTGTGCAAAGAGTGCAAGGAGAGTAGTAATGACTACAGCATGAAACTTTGCCATTGTGAGATGAATCTAATAGATAATAAGCCTAAGTTGAAATCATAGTGCATAAACAATACGTACTTTGTCTTGAAGTGAATAAGGTAGTGGATAATGTAGTGGAAGATGCTAGTGGAGTGATCTTGTTTGAACTGCGATGGGATTTAAATATCTAGTCTTCGGCGCTTCACCCTTATCCTTGACACTAGCCAAAGCTTCAGCATTTTCTCACCTACCTTCCCGGCCCGATGTTATTTAGGCAATCATCCTTACTACAGAGGTGGCTTTCAAAAGTTCTTGCTGACAGGGGTTCCTTGGTTACCACCGAAAATATAGCCGAAGACTAAGAATTATACTATATTCGCAACTAAAAGCCCTTAAAATGGAAGTTTGGAGAGAATAATAGCTACTAAGGTATACACTTACAGTAGTACACTAACTACATTAGGCATTATTTCTTGCACGCTAAGTAAGTAATGGAAACGTCATCACGAGAATTCGGTCCGATGGATCCGCGCCTTAGCAAGAACTTTTGAAAGCCACCTCTGTACATACAAGCTCTATACTACTATTACAGAATATGCAAGTATGCAGCTTCCTTGATTGCTGCCAAGATATAGTAGTGCAGCAGCAACAACAACTTCGAGTTTTCTAGAAACCGCTAGGAAAGCACGATATCTAGGAGAACCGACCGGGGGGATGGCGCAGTGGTGGAGTGCCTGGAAAATTTTCTGCTGTCTCACGTCAGCAAAGATCGAAGGTTCGAATCCTTCTCCCCTCACAACCATATTTATGGTCCACCCACATGAGAGAGTTACTCATTAAACTACCTATTCGACTGAGAGAGTTACTCGTTAAAACTTGAGAGGAAGACTCATTTAAAGTGAAAGATCTGAGAGAGTTACTCACTAAAGAACTACTAGGCTACGAGCCTCACCTTCATTTAGATAAACCCCTACATTGTACCTACTCAATTTGTACCTAGATTAAATTCTAGCCTACGTAGTTACTTGCAGGCCTTAAGCCTGCACGTCTTATATAGCCCTGTGGGCTGAGAAAGGACGTTAAACTACAA